ATTGAGTTATAATGTTCATATGCTTTTAATACAAGATAGGCTAAATAATCTTGATTAAAATTAACAATTAAATGTTGATAAGTAAAATAATGTTGTTGATTGATATTTTTAAATGATTCAATCCAATCTAATATGGCTTTAACGGTTGATAAATGGCAATTATCCATAATATTTTCAAGATGAATAATATGTTTTTCAAATCGATTTAAAAATGTGACATCAGCGTGTTTAAAATCATTATGATCTATAATTATAACACAATAAAATAATTTATTTACATGACATTGTGGATTCAAATAATTTCCCATTGCAATACGACAATAATATTTATCTTCAATTTGTATAAAATTTTGATTAAATAAATCGTACAAACTACTATATATATTATTCATTTTTTTTAATATTAATATTGAACCATTCTCAATATTTAAAATACTATCACTTATTGTATGATAAACATATGTATTATTATTTATATCTAATGCCATTTGACTTCCTATTAATGTAAAAACATTTGATCTGTTATTTTCTACTTCTTTTTGAATTATGTATGACTCAAAATAATCTTGTACACAACATTTATCAATAATTAACATTAAATATCGTCCATCTATCTGTTGAATACTACTATCAATTGATGATTTCGTTGTAGGCAATTGAATTTTATCTAATAATTCTATATGATTTGTTTCTTTACAAAATTTTATCCACATTTTTTCGTGTGGTGAAATATCAAATGAACGTAGTTGATCAAAATACTTTTTCATATATTTTTTTATTATTGTAAATATTTGAATACTATCATCTTCATTTAAATTATATTTTCCAACATCTTTAGCTACACTTTTTATTAATGAATAATAATCACGCATACCAATTAATGAAGTTGTACTTTCATTTAATATTTCACTGAATGCGGTTGCTAAACCATGACTTAGAATTTTATTGAGTTGTTCAGCTACCAAGCGGTCATAGGAGGAGGCGATAACTGTGAGTCAAAATACTATATTTGATCAATGATGAACAAGAAAAGAAAACTGATGTGTCCATGCCTTCAATTCAGCCAATTTTTAAACTATCTTGAACTTTGCACAAATATTTTAAGCCTGTATTATAGTTATACAAATAGTATAAACGTTTCTGAAGCTCGCTACACATTTCACAAAAACCAATAGTTTTTCGTGTAAAATTTACTTATGAAGAAAACTGATGTGTCCATGTCTTCAGCTCACGTGTAGAACTCACATCTCTTTATTCTCACTCTCTTTCATCGCGTTGTTCTCCCTATTCATTAGTCATTGCTTTTCCATTCTCTCTGCATGTAGTTGTCACACTCTGTTGGAGTAGATGTAACGGGCTAATATTCCAGCTATCGTTGACACTGAGAAAATGCTTACTACCGCACTCATACAAACAAAACAACTGACATGAAAGGACAACTTGCACTTTTGGACGACGACAACAAAATCTAAAAGCGAATCTCATGTATCTTGATGATGCAACTCACATTTTTATCGTCGCTGCACGATACGAGCTTGCACCACCAGCTTCGGTTTTGTGCTTAATAAAACAGGATAGTGAAGTTGGTCTCAGTGCATCGACATATATCTCGATCCGATCAAGTAAGCATCTCCACAAACCACTTCAAAATTTCATAATGTGGCTACATAGACAGGTGGAAATAACGGTCGATGAAGATCTTTTGTTGTTAAAACTTTTGTTGTTATTTTGAAAAGCATATGTGAGTAGCAGGGAAGAAGAAGTACTTGGGTGTTGTGCAAGTATTGTTGGTCATCGCGTGCTCAGTCGGATGATTCACAGATAGAATTAATTGAGGACGAACTCGACGGAAGCTGATGCTACTTACTCAGACTTAGTCCACGTGACAATTGTTGTATTTTTTATTTTCATTTTGAAAAGAGAGCATTTTCAGGAGTTGTGATTGTGAAGGAATGCTGAGCTGGACCACACGAACGAAAAGGGTGAGCATGGCTTCGTCACCAACCTGCGTCAGTCCACTCGGCACAAAGTAACAACAATAAACGATCTCGACTT